TATGTATCGAACAATTGTTCACATGTATAAATTAAATTGTCAGGATGAACAGACTTTTTAATAAAAAAAATTTACATTTATGTTTATCGAAGTAGTCTTAGTATCTTAGTCATATATAATAGTAATGGAACATCGTTTGCATATAAAATATAGAGTCAATATGTGTGTATAACATACATTTATAGTGTGCATATATACTTTCGAAGTTTCGTCGTTTAAGAGTTTAACTTTGTTCTCCCAAGTACGCATTACAATTCGGGCAATAGTGCTTCTTCGTCAAGCAACTGTCCATACAGTACGGGCAGCATACGAAACACCATAGTCTGGAAAGAAGAAGGGGTGTAAAATAGTCTTGCTCCGTTTTTTGAACACTTCATTGAGATTTCCAATTGTATTTACCCGAAGACGCAAAGGGCTAATGCAAACGCGTGAGTTTTTATGTTCGCCTCTGATTTTACTTCCGTGGAAATGTTCGCTTGACAGTGAGGACACGTCATCCGCTGCGATTCAGATCCGAAGGCAGGCATATAGGCAATAGCTGTAAAATAATGTTCATCAAATATTAAAAACATAGTCTTCTAGAGCTAATTCGATGATTAAAGAGTACGTACACAAGTGCTTTAGCGAAACACGATATGTCGAGAAACATACCTACCTAAATAGATACATTTACATTTCAATTTGTCAGGTTTCATTCATTCAGCTTTATGCCTTTAACAATTTTCTTGGCTTCGCGAATACATGCAGGTGCCAACTAGTACTTAAAGTCACTGCTCGTTTATCAGTTTTACACTTATATAGTCGATATACTCTTACGTACTTGGTGGCGATGTTGTTTGCTGGTGCTCATTGTACGGCGGCGGCGGTGGTGGTGAAACGAAGCCTGATTGTGGAATGAAACCAGGCGGTGGTGCTGTTCCTTTGTCCATCTCGATATTCTTCTACCTGAAACACATTTTTAATATCTTATCATGATCTCGTAATTATAATTCATAATATCGAGTAGTATCTTAGACGAAGACCCCCTGAAGTTCCCTGACATGAGCAGGTTCTATAACTTAGTTTAACATATTTTTTTCGCATTTTCTTCCTCGTCGGAGATTTATCCTCCTATATTATATCCAGTATTTTTTCCATTACGTCATGAGTGTCTGATTCTCTGAATTTAGTTATCTCTACGAACAAGATAAATTACTCTATCAGACCGGATGCTCTGGATCTACCTCCAAATCTTAATTGTCCGTAGAGAATTTAAGAAATAAGGAAATTCCAGCTCGAATTTCGTAACTCGTAACTTATATAATAAAAATCCATTTATGTATAAAACTGGACATATCCGACGTGCAGTTAAACATCATATTTTCAAATTTTCGCAAGAACAGAATATCTTTATTATCTTCTTTTGACGATTACTTTTGCTGCATTCAGTGATAACACACTCAACCTACTTATCTGTTCATAGAAAATATATTGTGCAATTGTAAGTCATACGTAATCAATAGATAATTGATCTGAAGTTCCGGGAACTTTAATTACTTATTCGATTTTGGTGTATCTATTATATCGCTCTTACTCGATCAAGATTAGGAACTCAAAAGAGAAAATTGTTCATTTATATTTATAGCAATACCGGAAAAGTAGCATTAGCTGGTATTACACATTCGTAATAACGGGTACAAGTGATAAGAGTAGATAAGCGGCTGATTATGTCTTAAAGGACCGGATAAATACGTAGATGTAGATATCTGATTGTGAGACACCGAAGAGTTAGTGCTTCTACGAAATTATGTTATTGTCGATCGATCAATTGGTATGAAATACATATTCGATCCTCGAAAACGGAAGAGGGGCGGAGTTTAATATTTATAAGGCTGATAGAATGTACACTGTGCGATACCGTTTGAAAACTGATACCATACACGCGAGGAGCCTACATCGATTTCTCTTTCATACCACGAACAAACACTCGCTTTGTATTATCCGTTCTTGTAGCTATGCTAAAAATATTCTGCTCTTTCACGTAATTTTTAATGTGACCTTTAAATTCATTTACATATAAGGGTCATTTGCCTATTAAATTTCACCCAGGATATGATCTGAAAAATGGAAGTTATGCTTCAGCACTCGCTCCTGCATTACAAATGTATACAAATTATAATTATTATCGATACACGAAATTCATTAGACTTGAAGGACGGTTACGCTATTCAGATCCTATTCTGGGACTTGTTTACTATCCTACACATTTCAATAAGAATAGAAGTCTCATAAAAAGATACGAATTATTCGTTCTTGTTGTTACTTTGTGATCTTATATAAGCAAATTTTGCAAAGTACAAAATTCGTGAAGGACGACATATAATAGCTACAATTTTTACAATTTTACTGACACCGCTGCTTATCATATACCGTCAGTAATATAACAATATTCTTATCATTTTCAATCTAGAAAAGAGCTGTCCTAAAGTAAAGCTGATGAAAACAAACAGTGCTGTGTGTTATTCTCTTATGACGTCACGATTTGAAACATTATATGTCACATGCGCATAATTTTTTGCATACTAAGGTGTATTATTCGCGGTAATGAAATATGTAGCAATAATTCACGTAACGCAAACAGCGTGTTAATCAAACAACTTATTTACGGTGGAATAAAAGGAAATAAGAAACAGATGTACGATAAGAGAAAAAGTAAAACCGGTTCGAAGACCTAGCGTCGTAATTTCTGGCATTCATTCAAAGTTACAACGAGAAAAAAAAGGGCGGTTCTCCAGGAGAACCTCGTGTAAAAACCAGCGTGGTTCGTGATTGCTCGAAGAGACAGCTAGGTAGCAGTCAGATATATGCACGTACCTGTTGCAATTATACCGGGAATGCGTTACACGTCACCAATCGGGGCGAAAATAACCGAGCGATCGTTGGGAATGTTGGGGTCCAACTAGCAACTCCTCTTTCTCGTCCGGCTTTCACACTCCTTAAATTTAAGCGTCGCACACGTAGATATCTGCGAACGGCCGAAGGTGGGAGAATCGGCGGAACCTGTCGAGAGATAGAAGAGTACGTCGGCAGTACCGACTGCTTGTGAAACTGGTGCAATTCCTAGAAGCTATCGCGTAGATGAATCAAGCGTGGAAATTTTAATATGTAACTACCACGTTATCAGAGATTGACTACAAGAGGATGAGTCATTCTTGCTGCTATTGGTTGAGATAATCAATTTTTAGATCTATTCAAAGGCGGTTTCCGGAAGCTCGTGATCTTCACCGGAAACACATGTTTTCGAACTGCTTATTACCCCCAATTGTTGCTGTGAAACAGGAGCAAGGAACGTGGAAAATGAATATTAAATTTATTTAAGCTTCTTTCTCTAACAAATAACTTTATTTATTGTTGGTAAAAATGGAAACATGACCGAAATCAGGTAAAATCATTCGTTTATTAGTTAACGCAAAAACTGTTTGCGTGAACTTTACATGGGAGCAGTGTTCCTTTTATAATTCCATCGTAAATTGATCAAAACGGTTGAAAAGTAAAATACAAAAATATATATACAAAATATGCCATGTTTACGCGTAATTTGCAAAGGAACCCAGTGAGAGATTTAATTATTCGCCTAAATAGTAACAATTGATACAGTTGATGAAGCAAGATTTTCGAACGGCTCATTAATCTGTTGTTACCCTGAACGTTATGCAATCACGTATTTTATTATTGTTTATTCACAACACACTATTAGCTGCGCTCGTATATATAACAGTAAAATACATTTTCCATTTGTTTTACGTACATATCATTCCTGATATAAGTAAACCGAAATTCTTCTATCGCATGCATTTACGTCGCACGATAATTTGTAAAGGGGACTCGCTGCCCGAGTTTGAAGATCTATTTGGTGTCGACTTGTATATCAGTTTCAAAATTCCATTGAACACCTAAAAAATTGATTACAAATTCCAACATGTTCTACGATCTAAAAATGAAACTGCGATCGATCGATATAAATATTTGCCTATATATAATATATATAAATTACTATGCTCTTTTCTTTGGCTAATAGGATAACAATCACCCTAACAGTAACATTGTAAAAACAACAAAACACGTTACAAATGATAACGTCATTCTACTATCCGATTAAAAACGAGAATTTTACGAATTTCATCGTACCAATAACACACTTTCATCGAGCTAATTTCATACATACCTATTAGTCTAATTCGATCGATCGTTCGCAATACAAATGTTTTAAATTTCAATTCCTACATAGTGTCGCGAGTTTCAACAACCGAAAAATCAGCAAAGAGGTATCTTAAATACAGGAAAAGTAAACTACTACTAGTAAAATGATCAGCGAGGATAAGATTCTATTTTTACCTATTGTATAACTTCGAAACCTGTGGTCGTTTAATTCGATGTAATTGATAAGAAAGAATTGAAGATCGTATCGTAATATCAAATCTACTGGCAGTATCGAATTGCTTTTCTCATTTCGAACGAATTCGTTTGGAATGTTTTACCGATTAAATTCGATAGATCAACGACGCAGCCGGAAAGGGGAGGGAGCACTAAATTTCACGGTGATCTCGCATTATCGTGCCTGCTTCTTGTCTATCAGTCTTCGTTTCTTCACGAGGAACGATCAGGCGTGGACTTGGTTTTAGGCTTCCGTCCCAGTAACTTGCGAAACGAAGAGGTCCATCTCGACCGACTGAACGCCGTCGTGTTTTGCTCGTCCGGCTCGCTGCAGCTAAGAGACTCGCTGATCTTCCTGCTCTTGCCGCTGCTGCTGCTTGTGCTACTACCCCCATTTTCATAACATCGTGATCTTCGATCTCCGATCTCCGAAGAGAACCTGAAGAACATCCAATTATCCCCTACATCGTTGAGCCTCGATTGAGGAAGAGTCTGTTAACTCGTTTAGAAGACTTGATACAAACCCTGAATCGGATGAGAAGGCTCTGGCCGTAGGCGGAGCACTCGAGTTGGCCGATGAAAGCGACATTTCGGCGACAGGAGTGCTCGGATATGCTTCGTCGTCCGAGCCGCTGTTACTGCTGGTCGTACTACTGCTGCTGCCGTTGCTGCCACCGGCACTGCTGTCGACGCTCGAATCGTCGATGTAACTTATTTCTCGATCGGCCAACGGTGAGTTAGTCCTCTGACCACGCGAGGCTGGCATCGCGGACGTTGTGCTGGGTCGCAACCAGGTACGCAGATCCTGCAGCGGCGCTTGAAGGCACTTGAAAAGGTTCCCGCTGAAACAATTATGTGATACATGAATCCTCTTTCAATGTCGGGCAACTCGTGTTCCGTTTAACTCACAGTCTACTTACTCATCGCGATAATCATCGATCTCGGCGAAAGTGCGACGCGCGTACAGACAAACGGAGCACCGTCGACGACGGCGGCAAGACGTGGCGTGTACAGTCGCTGCACGAAGGTGCCTCGCGGCGTGCCTCAACGTGATCGTCTCTCGGGTCAGCGCCGCGACACCTTCCTCGCGTCTGCGTCTCTCCTCCCCTAATTCTCCCTGTTCCACGCGTAGTTTCTCCTTTAAGACTTCGTTCTGGACACATTAAAGAACACGATAGTGAAGTCGTTCTAGCTAAAACGAAATTGATCTCTCGAACTATTCTTACTTCTTTCTCAAGAGCATCTCGCTCGGCACGGATAACGGTAGCCTGTCTGACGACATCCTGTCGAGCGCGTTCAAGGGTCTGCCTCGTAATCTCGTTTTGCGCGAGTTGCATCTGCAGACGGCGCAAAGCTACCTCGCGCTGCCTCTCGAGACGATCCCTGGCAGCTATACAGCTGTCTCGTTCGCCTTTCGCTCTTTCGACTTCTTCCTCGAGACGGAGGCTCCGTTCCAGTTGCAGAAACAATTCGTCCTCCTTGCTACGAAGATCTGCCTCGCAACCTTCCAATCGCCTCTCCAGCGACCGTCTGATCTCCTCTAGTTTGTCCCTTTCCGCCTGGAACGCATAATATTTTGTCGAGTTAATTAGGGGCACGAACCAAGGAAAAAAGTGTGTTGCGACTATTTATAGTTCTTCAGAGAAGCGGAACGTGACCAATCCTTTGTTTTCTGATGACGGCGGACGTGTTAAGATCCCGGAAGAAATCGCCGGAGGGGGCAGTTTCAATGGAATTCTAACGACCACGCTGTCAACGCGAACGAGACCACGAGGAAGCATTAACGAAGATAATGCGACTAATTAAAATATAAAGAATGGAACAGAATTGCTTCCAGTATTGCATCTGATTTCACGGCTTATGAGTAGCTCTGTTGCGTCTACAGGTGGTTGCACGCATAGATCGCCAATTTTATGATTAGCAATGAATTCGAATTTTCATTAAAGATGTTTCGGGCAGGTGAATCAACGTAATACCTCGGTGGTTAGCACGAAAATACAATTGCAGCGGTCGTCGCTGTGCATTAAAGGTCGCAGAGAAACGGCCGAGGGAAAAGTATTTATAGAATGAACGCGGTAGACCGTGTGTTGGCAAATCTGTTCTTGCCAACCGTGCTCCATTCGCGAATACCTTGTTCGGTTGATTGCGTAAGCGGGATTAATCATAAATCACCGATAGACCATGTCTGTTCGCATACTAAGCGAAAGCCTCGCTTGTCATTGAGCGTTTCGAACATGGAAAACTGAGAACACGCTTCTCGATAGCTGACACTCGAATTTCGGGCATGCATTTAAGCAGAAGGTTGCTATCCTTCGAGATTAAAGTTTGCGTTCATCCGGCTTAGCCTCTGGCTCGAATAACGCCTGGATGCCAGATTGTAGGTCAGCCGAGGTGGGCAAACTAGACTCGAGGTTGACGAACGGCATTAGAGCAGCACGGGGCCGTTTCGCGGCTTCTGTCTCACGGCAGGCGAGACGATGGGCCGAGGGGAAAAGCCAGCTGGAAGGAAACCGAAGAAAGTCGAGAGGATAAAAAAGAGAGGAGGTGGACTCCAGTCACGGAGACAAGACCGCAGAAGGAAAAGCGGAGTAACGAAACGTAACCGCTTCTTCTTCTCCTCCTCCTCCTCCTCTCGAATTCTTCCCGCGGCTCGGTATTCTTGTTTCTGCGGTTTCGTTTCTGTTTGATGGTCACGGTAAATCCAGTGAACAAGCAGACGTACAAGTGGCCGCGCGTCCAGCGGAAGGCCAAGGGGAAATCGAATGAACCCGCCACCGCCGTCTTCGACGTCTATCCCAGTCCTCTTTTTTACCCCAAGGGCTTCGTAAATTTGATTTTCCTCGCTTCAGACCCTCTGCTTCTAATGTTTGAAGCAAAGGTGCAAAACAGTCCGAGTTATTTGTTTTAATGTTTCGTTCTACTAAATCGTTTTACGAGGAGCTTTACGACCGGTTCAATCCTCGACTCACATTGGGGACACGTCACGTGCTATTTTATATCGGGTCGAGTTTACTGCTTCTTGGCAAGTTTTTCCCGAACCGATGTAATTGCAACCAGACGTTTGGTTTACCAAAGCCTACATTCCGTTTGCTTCTTTCGATCGAGGTCGCTTCTTAAGAGCCGAGTTAAATGTCCTATTAGCTGAGTGCCTCGTTACGAATAAGGGCTGGATCGACGTCGGTCCCTCGGAGATAAAATCTCTAGTAAATAAGAAGTCAAAGATCTTGTTTCCTCACTAGAGAGCACCGAGTTTCAACAAATATCTTTATAAAGGCTGTGCGAAAGCCCTGAACAAACACTGGAGGCACGCTTGACATGGGAAATCTAGCTTGTCGAGACCTGCTGTCGTGTCTGAACGGCACCGGGCATTCAACAAGAATTGAGAACGCGTAAAGAATGGAACGCGTGTTCGTCTTAAAAATCGCTAAAGCCTTCTTTGTCAGACAGATCCGTGCGTTTCGTGAACAATTGAACCTAGCTTGGTGTGACGAGTGGCATATAGGAAGTTAGCTAACAATATGAATACGGTAGTTTTTCAACTAATTATTTCAATTAAATACGAGCGGAACACGCAATAGGATAGGATCTTCTCTCGCTCGAAGAGTTTCTCCGAGCAGGAGTGGCATCTTATCGATACATTTTTTTAGATCGTATACACGCGCGCACACAGACGACCGGCCGGCCTGTTTTCTCTCGCACATTTTTGCGGATAATATTGCAACAGGCGAGAGCAAGTTGATTTCACTCGCCGACACACAACCTCCGCCGGCTCAGATACCATCATCAACCGGAATAACAAGATCGCGGAAGGACTCGGATCTTTGTTAAAATTCTCCGGCGAATAATTTAATTCCGTCGTTACGCAGCGCTTATACAAGCCGGTATATACATTATTTATAGAAGAAAGAATCTACTTCTCGTTAATCTGGATTAACGAAAGGATCCAATAATCCCGATGATTACGAATCCGTTCGGTAATTCGAGTTTACGAAACACGCGGATCGTGCTACACGCATTCTTTACGTGATAGGGAAAACGATCGACCAAGACTTTTCTCTGGCTTCGTCACGTTTCGCTATTTACTATTCTCCGTATCTTGTATTTGATCATCGTACTTATCAGTCGGACAGATAAAGCTATCTCCGATATTGTCAGTGCAGTTAACAGGTCGTTTAAGTTAATATCAATTTGTACAATACCTTCACTTCGTGATAACGTTCTTCCAAGTAGTATGCGATGCCCTTGGCTTCCTCGTACTTGGCCGCCAACGCGACGTACTTGTCGTAATGACGCTTGAACAACACGAACCTGTAAACAAAACTAGGTTCAACGTTCCTGCTACAATACTACTGAAAGTCTCAAACAATGATCTTTATTCTGTTCCCAGTCACTAATATTAAACAGCCTTCTGTACAAAATCTACTGAAAGTCTTCAAATCAAATCTTCTGTACAATAACTATTGAAAGTCTCAAAGAATGAACTTTATTCTGTTCCCAGTCACTAATATCAAACAGTCTTCGGTCGATCAAAGAAGATTTGAACGTCGCCAACGAGGAGAAACTCTAATTAGCCGCGGAGCAATTAGACCGCGGGATCATTCGCTGACAAAACAACAATTCGCCAAACGTTAATCGGGCATCTCGTCTCTCGCTGGTTTCACGCAACAATCTCCCATTTCCCTATCAACTATTCTCCCCGATCTTTCGACAGAGATCTCGCATGATCTTTGGAAACCGGAAACTCTATTCTATCCCACGCGACAGTTTGCATCATACCTGCCTTAAATATTCTAATAACTGAATGGCCAACGCGATGATTCATTTTTTGACTAGATTTCCTATCAGAATAGTGGTATTATTTTTGTGATAACAATGGAATGTTCTAACGATGGAAGAGGATCGATTAATTAATTAAAGTGGCAGGCGCGACCTTTCGGCCATGGGTGCAGCGTTCCTCCCGAGTCACGCCGATCGATTTCTCTCCCCGTGGATCCTCCGAAACTTCCTCTCTCCAGCTCTTTTTCTTTTCGACCGGCTCAGTCACTGACACTCGCGCTCGCACAGCTCGTCCATTCTCTCCGGTAACTTTCGCTTTCTCGAGAGACTCGCGGTGTGCGCCCGCTTCGAGATCCAGCAACGATCTTCGCCCGTCTTCCGGGTACCCTCTGTTTTCTCAAACACCTCGTCCGTCACACCTTCCTGGACCGAGTCTCCTCCAAGACTTGTCGAAACCCTATCAGGCGATCCAAGGTGACGATCGTATGAAACGCAATCGATCGCGACGAACTACGCATTCGCGTTTCATCTTGCCAACTTGTAGCATTATTCATTTAAGATTTAACTCATAAACGAAGGAGATCGCCTTATAACAATTTTCTCTGTCAATTACGGTAAAATGGTTGTACGCTCGATTCGGCAATTTGTAGTGCAACGACCTCGATTAGCATTCAATCCACGTGGGAACACGAGAAATCCCGGTACGTATTCACGGCGTGTGATCGATACGGTGGTTTGTCACGGCGCGAGTTTGCCGAAAAGAGAAATTACGCGTATTGTTCGACGTTGCATAACGACTCCGTGTGCGATAAACTCTCGTCGACGTGATTCGGATCATTCATCGCCGGAGAAATTGGCGTGCGAAAATCGTCTCGGTCGCTCATTACAGATCCGTGCGGTTTGCTCGACTTTCTAAATAGAGCATCCCAGTGAAAGGGCTAATAACGACTTATAACCGAGGAAGGGTTAAAAGTCCCCTGTCGATCGAAGGCTGTGCTCCTTTTTTAAACGCGGTACTTCGCAATTTAAAAGAAAGTGAAGCCACGCTTCTGTTGCCGTGCGCTTTTTGGGGCAAAGGTGAAACTTCTGGCTGGTCAAATGCGAACAATAAAAAATATCTTCAGAACCTCACGAGGCCCACCTTTAATCTTTCATGATCCGATCAGAACGGAACGTATTAATCTCGCGATGATAACGTGCGCGGTTAATTATTTAATTATACAAATCCCTAAGTTATTATACAAATAACTTTCCTGTATCTCGTTCAGCGATCTTGAATAGAGGAGATGTGCACAACAGGCGGAGCATAATATGTAGGGGTACTGAATTATTTTCCGATCGTTACTTTGCCTGGAATCCGAGACTAGCCTCGTTCCTTCAAAGAAACCCACATTATGAACGGAGTAATAATGCCGGAACTATAAAACAGCGGTGTACGCATTATCATCAATTAGTTTGTCAAGTCGCTAGCTTCGATAACGATCGAACGCGTCAAAATATATATTTCGAAGCACGCGTCAAAAAGGAATTCGCCACCTCCGAAAAGATTCGCCACTTGCGGACACTACCTCTTTATAGTCATCTATTTGACATATTTAAGGATGTATTGGCTATACAGTCAATCCCAAAAGTTTATGCACTTTAGAAATGCATTTTTTAAAAAGAAATCAGACGTCGGAAGAACATTGCTAATAATAAACAACAACAAAAATTTTTCGATTTTTCCGAGATTTTTCCAAGGGGTACCCCTTTTTGACGTCTGATTTGTTTTTAATTATAGGAAATGCGTTTTTCTAAGGTACATAAACTTTTGGGATTGACTATATAGCCAATACATCCTTAATGAGTCCAGTAATGCCACTAGACTGAAGAGCTCATTTTTTGTCGCAGTTCTGGTTTAACAAATGTTTTGTATCTTGTCTTCCGTTTTTATTGTATTTTACGAAATCTGTTGTATTTTTTTTGTTACTGGAGCTAGACAACCTATAACATAATATATTCGGTCATACTACTCGTTGTATATGCCGTGTATATGTAAAGCGTTCTTCAACCCGTAAATAAAAAAATAAAAAAAGGAGTAGCAGACGTGGATAGAAATCCATTAAAGAAGAGAGTGCAATTCTTAATTCCTTTGTCATCGGTTTTTGTCCGACGACGGTTTCGAATGGGTAATAAGGGAGATCGTTCGATGGCCACCGAATCGGTGATCAAGGCATTCCGTGATGCGTGACTATTGACTCGTGCCCGACGTCGAGCCCAGTCGCGTCTCCGACTATTGTGCAGAAAAGAACGAGGCTAAAGATAGCGATATATTCGAGAACAGCCGTCTCACCCCCCTCGACGTTTCAGAACTCAACCGAAATGCGGTAGTCCAGCTGGACCGGATTGATTTCGTTTCCTTTAACCCATTTTCATCGACCTTGCTCTGCAAACGTTACAATAAAAATGAATTTAATAATGATTGATATAATAATTGATACGATATCTCATACGACGACGGAAATAACAATTCATATCCTAATAACAGGTTTAACGCTCCACTTATTTCAAGTCTCAATGAATGAGAAACGTGTATTAGATATAATTTGCCATTCGTACTTTATTTGGACGCTAAACAAAAAAGGGAGAGACCGTGGTTGTTTAATCGTTTGTCTTATAAATAACGATAAAAACGTTTGCTGGATCGTCTTTAATTACGGGTAAAATCAACGGAGTCGTTGAAACGGTGGTTAATTGCATTGATTAAATCGCGTTTTAAGTGGACGGCCAGCCGGAGTCGCTCGCAATTTCCTTCGCAGCCGTTTTCATTGAGAACGGCTCGCGCTCCTACGGAAGCCGCTCCTTGGTCATTAAAAAATGAAACGCTCTTCGCTTTCCGTTTTTAAACACGCCCACGCGCCGCGTCCTCTTTCCGTACGCGCGCGTCTACCGAGTCACCGGGTTCGAATAGTCCGTCAATGATTCAACGTCATCGACTAAATAGAACTGTGCGCAGCGAACCGGAATCGATTTTACCTCGTGCACGAGCCTTCGACGTGTAATCATCGAGCCTCGGGATTAATGCAGATGAAACCGATGTCGTCACCGGAAAATCGTAGGACGGTCGCGTACGCGTCCGTGCGGAATTCTTACTTCCAGGAGCAATTTATTTCGAGTGGTTTTGTTGCGAGTCTACTTTTCCGTTCAACCTTCTAATATGCTCCACTTCTGATAGCATCCATACGCAAAAAGATGCAACGAATTCTTCTCCTACAAACGCACATTCTTCTCCATGATTCGCCGATAAAAAGTACCGACTTTTATCTCTTAAAATCGACCTGAGATTATTTCCTACTTTCGGTTCCTGTTTTAATTGAGCGACGTGTAAAGAGAGGCAATCGATAACACTTATTTTACATATCGCTACGAGCTACGGGAAATCTCATAAATCCAACGCCTCTGTTCGCGTCACGGTTAACATACATCCATATCTCGAGTTCCGGATCTATTCTGACACGACTTGCAAATCTGTAACATCGGCTTCGAAAGGAGCGACTCGTAAATTACCGACAAATAGTGCATCGCTGTTTTATTCGCTTCCAGTTTTATTGCCGCGTTTACTAGTTCTTATAAGACGACCTCCATCTTTCGGTTAACGGAAATCAATCGGAACATCGTCTTACTCTTACAGTTTTTTTAGCGTTAACAACGATTTTGTTCAGAAGGCTGTACGTGAGTTGGCGAAGACGTTATTTTTAATACTACCAAACCTGGTAATCTCATGAGCCGCGTGTCCGTGATAAAACATCGATAAACATTCGTAATCTCGCTCGCGCGACAAATAAAAAGCGCATTGCGTCAACAAGTGAAGTCGAAAGATCGACGTCTATTCTCTTTCCAGATTAAAAAATTAACATGCAATAAAATATTATGACAATTGTGAATCAATCGTAATCGATCTTTTTCAAAGTTATGCAAACTGAGTAATAAGAAATAACGTATATATAATAATACTTATTACTTGTACCCTTTCCGAATTGCAGTACGATTAGATGAGTCGAACTGCGCACAATTAGACGAATGAAATAAATGAAAGTGCAAACCTGTACAGATCGTTTTCGGTGACGATGTCCCGAATGGAATCCTCCGGGTCGATGCGATCGGCGGGAAAACCAGCCGGTCCCGCGACCCTCGAGGACAACAAAGGACAGGTCGGTTTCACGGTGGTGTCAGCGGCCTCGTGGAGGGCACTGGCCGCTATGAGGTCGTCCTCAGAGGCAGTACTAGTTAGAGGCACCGTAGGACTCGGCGATCTCGATCCGATCACGCCGAGGAGGTCCTCGCTCCTCGAATGTCTCATCTCCATAGCACCGTATCTCCCGGCGGTCGCCGCCATCGTTCCACCGTTACACCACGGTTGCACGCTCGGTTTTTCCACGTCCCGGTTAAACGGTCGTCCTCTTTTCCTTCGTTCTCGTTGCCACGACCTCGACAGCCCGAAGGAACCGACCACGATCCAGCGTTCGCTACTCCCATCCGGATGAGACTCCGCTTACTGCCTCTCATTCGTTGCTTTGGTGAACCGCGATCCGACGATCTTCATCTCCTCACTTCCGACGTTCGTCCAAATGAGAATCCTTAATCGCGTTCTGCGCTCTATAGTTGACCGCTCGATTCCTCTGCTTGACGTTTATCGGATAGTCGAAAGAGATAGCGTAATCGTAACGTTCGAATGTTATCGAAATCCCGTCGCCCGATTCCTCGATTACATTAACGTCGGACGGAACACCGAGGGTAACGGACCTTCGTTCGCAGGTCGACGAGCATCATTGAACGTACATATATTCCTCGTCCTTTCTCTTCGATCGATTTCGATTCACGAGCCACGAAACGGTGACCTATACTCTTGCGCGATCCGTTGGCAGGATCAACAGGAAGTACCCTTGCCATGGACGAATCCACGGATGAGGTGTCGATCGGCACCGGTTCAGGTTCGAGCGGCCATTTTCGTTGGATGCTACGAATTGTACTTTGCACCGTATCTTTCGAGGGACACCGGACACAGAGCGTGTACACCGAACAGGCTCGTCTTTGTAATTAAAGTAATTAGAAAAAGAAGGGTGGTTCTCGACGGACCATGCGCGGTACACGCGCCGCACACACTGCAACCCGGGATCGTCCACTTTGCACAATACCACGAGATACACAATTATTTTACGACGATTTTTATTTCCTCTTTCGCGTTGATTGTAACACCGTTCCGCCTTTCTTTTACGAGCCACGACCGAAGTCTAAATACTCGCCTACCTGCCGTGCAGCCGTAACGGGAATCAGCGGGGCCGCTTTGTCCTTTCGCAAGGAAGGGGCATGCGAGAAAGGATATACCTGCGCTCTTGCGCGTTCGCCGCAGGTATGACATTGACCAATGGACGTTCCTCCGATGGTAACGGTCAGTCACAGGTAAAGTTCTTCAGCCTTCTCCCTTCAATCTTCTTCCAACCAAATCCTCCAAATCGCTCTTTTCGACAGTGTCAAATCTCTCCTCGAGTTCCATTGAAATAAACACGGCATGACGTGACGGATTTATGCAGATTCGATCATTTCCTTCTTCGCCAGCTTGCATCAGCTCACACGTAACGTGATTTTAAACGTGAACAAGTTTAATACTTCGCGTTATCAATGAGACACTGTTGTGTTAGCAGACGTCGAGGCGAACATAAAGCACGTCGTTAAGGCATACTTTCACAACTGCCTAATTTGTGAATGATACTTTAATATTGTAATAGAAATTCTGTCGTCAAGACTAGAATTATATCGAGCCAGTTTATAAAATGTTGTACTTTTATCGACGAAATCTCACGTGCAATTCTTGCATATTCTCTAACGATTTTTGTAGCACACTTATCTACGTTAGTATGTACTCACACAGATGACGTAGCCATCGTGTTTTCACCGCGAAAACCTGAGCAAACGTGATTCTCTCTGTTTCTCAATGAGATAGAAACGAATTCGTTATTTTCTCGTTTTAAATATCGAAACCTGCGACTATGGCAAGCTCTGTCAGTACAAATCCATCAACGTTATTACCCTTAGGTTAGTTGCAATTACTTCTCTTTACGACTAATCTTTCTCAACCTCACTTTCCATATTATTCTATTGATTTATAGAGCTAGTTGATAAGTGCATCGGCTCTCGGATACACATTATTATGAAGAACGACAAAGAAATCGTGGGGACTTTGTTAGGTTTCGACGACTTTGTAAATATGTTATTAGAAGATGTAACAGAAAGCGAAGCAACTCCCGAAGGAAGGAGAGTCACCAAACTCGATCAGATATTACTCAATGGAAGTAATATAACAATGGTCAGTATCTTTAACACAATATTCTTTATTTTCAAATCTCAGAAAATTCTACATGTTGTACCTCTGTTATAGCTTGTACCTGGTGGAGAAATGCCTGACACGTAAAGATGTTTTTTATTATACAATAATTTTTTTTTGTACAATAAACAATTTAAGAATACCTGTTACGTATAACTAAAACTAAGAATCAAGTAGTACATCGATCCTATTTATTATTTCGTTGGTCGACGGTCTCTCATTAACATCTTGTGCCCACATTTTTCTGTACAATGATTTATAGATACCATTGACTTCATCTTCAATGCTTTCATCTTCCGGGCGATGTCCTTTTGCCGAAAGATATATAATCGTATGACTATGTAACCCAGCGAATGGTAACTTTCTAGATATCATTTGCCAGGCTACGATACCTAAAGAGTAAATATCAGAACCGGGAGTGGGACTATTCCCTTTTATTATTTCCGGTGCAGTGTATCCTGGCGTACCCTGAGAAAAGATACACTTCAATAAACAGCTTACTAAGTTTCATTAGTAGAAACGTACACGATACTCTTTAACTTCGTTCGATTCTTCTATCAATACAGAACTACCAAAGTCTGTAAGTTTTGGCTGGCCGTCCACGGACAGCAATATATTTTTCGGCTTGACATCGGCATGTACAATCCCAGCGCTGTGACAGAAGTCTAGAGCGCAAGTTACGCCTCGTAACACGCGCAGCCTTTCGTGTTTATTTAATACTCTTTCGTCCAGCTGATCTTGCAAAGTGGTACCGCATAATTCCATCGTTATCAAAGACAACGCGGCACCTTGCTCGATCATTAAGACTCTCACGATGTTCGTATGCTTCAAGAAGGACGCGCGTTTCTCACGGTTCAGCACATTCAGACATTTCTCTGTTCGCATCACTTTAGCTGCTACCTCGTCGCCTACAGCGTAGGCAGTTCAGTTTCATACGATTGAATCCAGAAAGATGGTTTACCTTTATAAGAAGCTTTGTACACTGTCCCGAAACCACCGCTTCCGAGGAATGTACCGTGTTTGTTAGGAAGACCGTCCTCTAATATTTTGCGTCTATTAGGAGTATCGATGTTAAACTGATTTCTATTTCCGACAGTTTGTTTATAAGGACTCAAGTACGTTCTGCAAATGTTCGTATGTTCTTTTTCTAATAACTGAATTAGAATGTTCGTCTCGATCTTCATTTACCTCCCGTCCGGATTTTTTAATATCCGAGGCGTTAGACTACGTAATTTAGCCACTAATTTGTGCGGTGAAGCCATCTCAAAATACTTTTACTATAATCACAGATGCTTGTTTAGTTTCGTTAAGGGCACCATAACGATGACAGTTTTTTCGATGTACGCGCGGTAATCGAACGACAGTGAATTGACGAGGATTAAAGTGGTGCAGAATAGAGGGAAACAAGATATTTTATTTTTCTAATATAAGGCATGTACCATCTACTAGGGATTCTATTACTAATTATTACTTTTTAATACTGTATGATAACTAGACTATTTACATTTCATTTACGGTCTCGTAACAATTGATACTTATCTTGATAATCTCTCAATATAAGTAATATCAGTGGTATGTATGTAGTAACATTGTTAATGTACTATACGGACATATGTATATCTAACGAAATCCTGTGTTAAAACCTGGTAGAGTACTGCCGATATTTTCTAAACGATTCTGGACCTCTATCACGATTATTCAATATAATTTTCTTTTTTCGACAATACGTAGAATGTGCAATATGATTATGTGTCGTATTCTTTCTTTTACGGAAATATATCGGGATTGAAATAGAGTGCTATTTAATAATTCAGCGGATTAGCAAAATACTTTAGCCAATGAAGAATAGAGCTCTCGATAATTCCTCTTGAACAGTACCGAAAATATTCATTTTCGCGACTCTCGTTTTATTGCACATACGTAAGATATCGTTACAGCTTGGTCTTAGTGAAGTGTAGAAACGTTACAGGAATATGTATCAACTATCATTTGTAAAATCAGCAATTATCGTAAAGTACCTACCAATACTGATCAGTTCTTATGTAGAAAATAAAGTACAAGGTGAATACGTTCAAAGAGAGTGTACCGCTCGCGAAGATGCGTTTCACTAACTTTAATTTTGCTCTTATATACTATTCTTTAAATAAGTACACGGGCGATTGACGTTTAATCGTGGTTTAAAATCGACACAAGCTTTTTTAGAATAGTTCGTGGAATTTATTTTTAATCAAAACTTGCTATCAGGTACTTATTTAAGTGTGTACCGAGTTTGCCGATTGCTTAAATAGATAGTAACCGTAAGATCAAAAATATGTTCTTTCTTATTTAAATCAGAGATGAATAGAGGGCATATTAAAATGTTCCATCAGTATTAACGATCCCGAAGATGTCATAGAAAAAGTACAGGAATTCGTTATTGCGTGAAGACGTATCTCCGCGTTTTAAATCTTACCTAGAACAATTAGAGTCGAACTGTTGCGTTACACTCACGCACCTGACATTTGTACGTAAATGTTTATTCATGGAAGTGATCCCATTGGAGAGAAGAAATGAATCAGGACGACAAAAATAATCGGCAGGATAGTTAATTTGATCATTAAGTACCAACTCGGTTAGTCGTAAAATGTTACGATCGGTTTTCAAAAGGTATTGCTCAATGATTGTTAACTGTTTAACATTAGCGAATTACAGTCCCACAAGAATTCAGTTTACGGTATTGATCGATAAGAAGAACTAATGAGAACTACCCGTGCATTTCCTTATAAAAGACTTAGTTCTCACTCGTCTATCGAGACTTGTGTAGACGGCCAGCACCATAGTTTATTATCCTTTTGATTTGGCACTCTCGCTCACAGTGCCTTATTTTTTTCTAATTTTCCTGAGCAACGTATCGTTCATCACCATTCAACAGAAGCAGACAGAGGCACCTTTTTTCTCACCGATTTCAAAAGAAAAATAAGATGAAACAATTACAAATATATCAGACACTACTACACAGCAGTGAAAAGTTCTTCTCCTATGGTAAGAAACCATAGCGCGATAAGCCTGTATAGAACGCGTAACAATATATAGATATATATATTTCTCTCGTTTTACCCTTGTCCTTCGTATCATTATATACAAATTTTGTAGTACAAAATAATTTTATACGAATTTAACGAGTTAACACGACCGTTCGGAGATCAGCGAACCCCGCTTATCTATTCCTTATCTACGCTCCCTCTTAATTCATTGATATTCATATTTACTCTCTTTCACGAAAAATAGACTGTTCTTTAGCAATTCAGAATCGCCTTGATGCGTTAGGAATCATAAGTTACAGAGAAACTACGAAAAGGAAATGTCTCGGAACTAACGAAGAGGACAGTGTAGAAGGAAACCAGTGGCAGGAGGAAGGAGAGAGGGAGAGAGGTATTCTTCGGACATGTCGAATAAGGCACTATCTAACCAGGTAGCGGAGCTTCCTCGTAAAAGTCTGGCTCGTCCTCGGTACTCTCGTGTTCGGAACCCTTGCTGTCCAGTGCCCGTAGCTCAGCGGCGGTGAAAAAGTGCCGCATTTGAGCTCGTAGCGGTATCATTAAAATCAGGAAGAACGGTAGCGCCAGCGCGGCCCTCGTGCTCTTGACGACCCATAGAACGGTCAGGCACAGGATTTGTATCAGGGTGAATATGTGCATCTTGTAAGTTTGCACGCGACGAACGTAATTCGCCGTGCCGTGATGCTTCACCGGCATGAAGAACAGCTTCACGCGGTCGAACAGTTGGACACCGTTCGTCGACGAAATGCCCATGTAAAGGAACACTCCGAGAAGGACGGACATTGGTACGCGTCGCAGCAGCGGCGCCATCAGCACACTGACGCCGATCAGCACGGCGACCAGCAGCGCACTGACCCTTTGCTCTTTCACCTCGACGATGTGCGGCTTGTCGCCGGGCGCGTGGGTTCGAGACATCACTGTCACTGCTGAGACGTGTGTCAGCGAACGGACCGAGGCGGCGCAGCACCACGGGGCACCCATCAAACCGCAGCCGACGTTCATCAGACACACCACCACGATGTCCATGTGGTATCCGTTCCCTTTTCGCAGTTTTCGTTCCTTCTTGTCGATGATCAGCCTGTAACGAAACGAATTCGGAATTCTTCGTTCATATGAAATGAATAAAAATACTTACTCGGAAATTTGAGTTTCCATGAAAACGAGGATGTAAACCAGCAACGCAGGCACGATGCATGCCAGTGTCATCCATAGAGGGATAGGTTTCTCCACTCCTACGGGTGACACGATCCAATTCCTTCCGGGCATCGTCGGCGTTAAACCCTCCGGGACCAGCAATTTCTCAGTCTTCACTTTCGCTGCGTAATCGATCAACGCGAACAAGATGATACTGATCGGCACACCGAAATCACCGAACGCTCTCCTGGCGCTGCGCCCGAGGTAGTGGCTGTTGCGGAAGATACGCAAGTAGTAAGCACCGAGGAAAGTGCCGAGGCACAAGATGGTGCACATCAAAGCAGTGTTCGGTTGATTGATCATTAGTCCGTCGATGTTGTACGCTGGTATCAGAAGCTTTTCCAACGGGACACCGATGATCTCGCCAGTGTTTGGAGAAACGATTTTCATCTCGGTCATGTTCAACGATTCATAGAAAACCGTCTCGTTCGTCGCGGGGGTGAAGCTATATTCGTCGAGCAACGGATTCTTCACGAAGTAATTGTACAGTTTGATGAACGTCTCGACGATATAAAGGAGGGAGATCAACCCGGTGAAAATCTCTTCGGTGAAACGTGTGAATAGTCTGACCAGCACCGATCCTTCGACGCAGGCGATGGCCAACGCTATGATCCCCATCCATGCTCCGACGTACACTCTCACGGTCAAGAAATCCAGTTCGTTCGTCATACAAAAATTGTACAAGCTCTCGTCGAAGAGCAACAACGGACCGGTTGTACCGATTATTACCAAGGGTTGAGTGGAGAATAGAGCCATTACGATTCCGGTCCAAGAGCCGGAAATTAGAGTCTCGGATATGCCGATGATATCGTCCGTTTTATCGCTCATCAGACCACCGAAAGTGATGGCTGTACAGAGAGCGGCGAAGTACATGAAGATGGCTGCTGCTAGGCAGGATGAGCTTAAGCCGTCGGTGAAATCAGAGAGATAGTGAGGGTAGCGTCTCTTGATATCGTTGATGAGGCCGCCGAAAGGTCGTTTCGTTCTCCGGAGAGGATCGTCGTCGAACGGAGGTTTCTTCTCTTCCTCGCCAGCGAGTAGAGCTGTGGATAACATACAAATCAATAATTAATGATAATTATATGAGATACGGTTCGATTCGTAAAAAGAATAACGCGTACCTTTTTTTATGGCGGCCTCGGTTTGAATCGGTTTGCTCTTTTCCTCGAGCGCTTTTTCCTTCCGTTTCCTGATCGCCTCGCTTTTTGCCTTCAACTCGCTGAACGGCAACAAAGCCTGTCGCTCCCAATCTCCAGGAGGCAGGACGATCGAATCGTCCAAGAACTCATTGATCGCGGACAGAAGCTCGCGCCTCTCGTTTGCTTTGTACGCGATTTTATGGAACGACGTATTGGCCATCAGCGTGGCGATCGATCTACCGATTTCGTGATAATCTAAATCACCGTTCCTTGGACCCAATAAGATGAACATGAATCTTACTGGTATCGTGACTTCCGTGACCGAAGGAATGTACACACCCTCGGCGAGCCTGACGAACGCGATCGTCGGCTGGTCCAGGAAATCGACAGCCCCGACCAGCACGACCGTCGCCTCGGCGCCCGCCGGGATCCTCTTCAGTATATAGTCGTTATGACTCTTCTTCAAGTCTTCGTTACTACTTGTAAAAGTCAGCTCTTCCTTCATGTCGATCGCCGTGTGATTATCCAACGCCAGGTTCGACGAAATGATCTTCGGTTTCGCGTCGTTCAAATTCTAAGAAACAGAGAACGCAGATTATGAAACGGTCACTGATCCCATTCTTACGTATGCGTACAATGCGTTGGATTAGGCACAGGTATTTAAGAAAAGTGCCCATCTAACTGGACAAGCAAGAGAAAGAATTTTCGTTGCGCAGAGGCGGTTTTTGTTTCTCATTTATCAAAAAATCATTTACTTCATCGTCTACGAACTGATATCGTTGTACAGAATCCGCCTCTGCATAGTAGAAGAATACTCGAATCTGAGATACGTACAGAATCGCTACTTCAAGTTCAACAAGTGTGTATCAAGCGTAATAAACTAAAAAAATATAGAACAGTCTCTTAAAGACTTCTAAGTAACATCGCAGAGCGAACGAAACCGTAAAAAACATTGAGAAAAGAGAATGGAGAGAGAGTATCGGGTAGTAAAGTGAGGTCCTAATGAACGAGAGTGCGATCAGTTGCAATGCATGTCTACACCGTTACGAAAGAACAATGTATTCATACGTACATAAAGTATTTTTAACAGTAAAACAATTATAAGAAGCTTGCGATAAATGGCGAACATAAAAAAAAAACAACAAAAAAGACAGGACGACGCATATCCATGGACTTACAGGTGTTGCGGTAAATGCAAGAATAAGGTACAGTTCTACTCAGAGCTAATCGATGAAGCTCCTACGACAAAGTTCCTAAAAATTACCACTACGTGTGCGATTCGTGATTCGACTCAACGTTTCGGTGTACAAGGATGGACATTCAACTTTGTTTCGTAGTGAATGAATTTGAATATCTCGTACGAGTAGGGAAAAGAGACTGAGAGAAAACACACTCATTCCCCTGTAAGTTCATGCCGAAAAATGTTATAATGATCGATGGTGGATCACAAGCCGTAAAACTAGCGATAAAGGTTTGAAAATTCTGTGTTTTGTAATTTTTGTTTAGTCGGGAGATCGGATTTACATGTTGGGTTACATGGTTCTCAGAGGCTTCCCGCGCAGCGTCTTCATCCTCCAGACAGACGGACTGTGGAAACAACATTAGGACACACCGTCAGTCAGGCTTCCCGTTTCTACGAATTTCTATTGATTATATTTCGTAGTTTCTGACTCGATTCAAAGAACGATATCGCCTCTCTCTCTCTTTATTACGAAGCATCATCGTTAATAACAATCGCGTTCGCTTGTGGGTAAATTTCGAGTACCGTACGAGATTCGAATAGCGAACGAGACACAGCACATTCATCACGTATCTGTTAAAAACAGCGACTGTGCTCGAGCAGCTCACACAATTAATGAACGGCTGTTAAAAGGAGCTGGGCTGGGACTAGAACACGGGCATACATACCTGTAGACTGGTGTAGCTGGAGTAGTTTCGTTTGCTACCGAACCGGAACCCGCGGTCGTGGTCGTGAACGTGCCTGTGTCTGAGGAGCAGAGCTCTCATCACCACCGGTCGATCTTCCGGCAGGATTAGCTCCTCGATTACCATCTGCTCGACCACTCTGTACGCTAGCCCGGGTAGGTCCTTCTCTTCAAGGTCGAGCAAGACGACGCCGGTTTCGAGGCATCGGCGAAGATTCAACAGAGAATGGAAGCTCAAGGAAGCTACGTGGGGCCTGCCCCATCTGTCCGCGCCTTCCTCGACGTCCTCCTCGTATTTGATCCATCTGGCCGTTTCTCTCCATTCTCTCTCTTCACCTAGGCCGTACAACTCGTCCAGCTGAACGAACACCTCGTGCGGCGAGTGATCGTACATCTTTTTGAACGTGTCGTGCGGTATGCCACCCTCTTTCTTGCGACCGATTTGCACGGTCATATGAGCAGCCTTGTGCCGCCTCATGCCCCGAGGATCGTCGCTCCTGTGTGATTCCAGATCGTCGATGTCCAGCTCTTGCAAGGTGCTCGCCTCTTCCGGTTGCACGCTCACCCGCCTGGCGAGCACCGGACCGTCCGGGAGGCCAGCTCCCGAGCGCTTTCTCCATTGCGGGTCCTCTTGAAGCGAATACTTTCTTGATTTGTGGTGGTGTCTTCTGTAAAGGGTAAACTAGTTGCTGTCACACTGCAGACTATCGATTTAACATTTTTTTTTCAGAATAATCTTTCTACGCTTTCAGCACGTAATGATAAATAAAGGCTAATTGGAAATGGTAGTTCATCCTGTACTTTGATACTGCGGTGAGAATGAAGTGAATGGATTAAAGGCTTAAGTCGTCAGCTTTTATCTCCTCAAAGGGGGTTGATTGTTATCGCTCCGTGGAGCAGCTGACGAGATTCGCCGAGTGGTATCGCTACATTGTAAGATGTTTTCGTCGATGATCACGACTGTTTTGGCTCTTCAATTTGTTTCGTAAAGAGTCAAAACTACAGTGTCTATAATAGCCGCAACGATGACTCTAAGTATGCGAGAACACGTGCCAGAGCTGTTTTTGTGCTTCGCCCTGGCATTGTAACTCGTCATCGTCGGAAAGTCAAGAGCGAACTTTTCGTCCCGTGTTTTCTTCGTGCACGATATTGTGACGTGAACTGTGACGTGTACCGTGTGCGTGGACAGTTGGAGTGTCGTTTTCTGGTGTCGTGTAGAGGTAACCGAAATTCACGATTGCTCGGAACTTCTTCTTGTTTCGTGTCGGATTAATTCGAAAAGGGGATAGTATACTTGAGCTGCCCGATGCGACCGATGTACAAAGTGTAACGATCCGGACGGTAATCGTGACGAGCAGCCATCGTGGAGGAGGAATCGTCACATCCGAAAGCACTGCACCAGAGACCGAGACGCGATCAAACTAATTAGAAGAACGCGAAGACGGTGGCCTCGAGCAACAGACCGTTTGGTAAGATTGCAGCCGCGGTGTAAATCTCTGGCCGAAGGCCATGACATTAGACAGTAATTGCAAACTGCTCCGCAATATCTTCCGTTAAATATTAATACAATTGTTTAACGCTTCAAGCGCTGACAATCAAAATATCGACAACGTTAACAGAGCTGTCAGCGAGCATGATGAAAATCAATTTAGTAATGGAATTTGTTTCGTCAAATTTCAAATACACCTGTAGAACGAAATAAATCGCATTTGTATTATTCATCAATCAATCACGATATTAAAATCGTCGCGTTTGAACTTCGCTAGATTTATTCAGGATCGATATCCTCATATCGTGGGTAATTGCTAAAATGCGATACACCGAGATTCGTGACTTAGAAAAATTAGCCGGAAACGTTCCGATTTTTCATAACGAGCAAGGTCGACTCTCATTAATACGAAGTTCTTTCGATTCCAGGAATTTTGTAACGCCATCGATCTTCGTTCAAATAAATAATATATTTCAGAACTTACTTGTGCTCGTGTTTTTGATGCCTCCGACTCTTCCGATCTTCCTCGTGACACCCCGGTATAATGGCGGCTACCTCGTCCTTGGGTGCTTCCTCTTCCTTAATGTTTTCAAACTGCACCCGGGGACTGCCAACCGTCGGACTCTCGTTGAAACCGGAAGCGGCTCTTTCGGATATCGGCGCCTCGGTCTCGTTGTTGACCACGGCCTCCACCTCGTCAGCGGCTGTCGGAGACAGTCCGTTGTCCGTTGCCTCCGGTTCCTGTGTGCCGGAATGTCCCATTTGTACTTGCCCATTCTCCTCATCTTGGTTCACTTCCGTTGATCCTTCGCTGTAAAACCCACTGGCTTTGAGTCTCGACGTCCCAAATAATTTCCCTGACTTTTCTTTTATTCGAATCAAACTTACGGTGAAAGGTGCCGTCGCATAGATCTGGAATGGATGCTTTTCAGAGGCATGTGCGGATGTGGGTAACTCCTCTTCCGATGCTCTGTCACAGAAACAATGAAACCGATATAAATAGACTGCAGATTTTATGTGTGCTACCAAATCCATCCAGACTATCAAAAGCTAAATGCATTATTCAATGTTCGATCGACCAAAGAACTGTTCATCTAAAACTGAATTTCTAAACTGGTAGCATACGTTTATTTTACAAAATTCGCAGTCTAGTAAAACTTAATTGGTTACGCGGTTCGTAAATTCTGAAGCTATCTTCCAAGCGATATAATTTTATTATTCTATCACTATCGAACGAGACAGTGAAATTTAATTGCATCGCAAACGTACGATTGAAGTCACGATCTCCATATCGCGGCGGTGGTCCTCGGTCTCGATCTCGATCGGATCCAGCCGATTCGGAGGGCGAGCCGAGACGAGCTACGTCGAACTTCTCCCCGGTGTCCATCGCGAAAACTTTTTCCATCTCCTCGTCGAGTTCCGGTCCCGCTTCCGAGCCATGGCCGTCGACCTAACGATACAAAGAGAACACATTTTATTAAGTAACTATATTAAACGTCTGCTCGAGGTTTCAACGTGTATGTGTGCGCAAATATTTTTCTCCGCAATTGGCCTGACAACGAATTAACGAGAGGAAGAATGATGTGCAATTGGCAATTCGAAAAGTCATTGTTGCGGTGACAGGGACATCGTCATTTATCAATCATATTTTTAATTAACTTCCGCGAGTATTTCTCAATTGATTCATCATGTTCAACGAGCCACTATCACGACGTTCGCATTATTATAGCCAGTTGCATAATATCGATCTATTCCGAAGCCGAGACGACAATACCTTTCGTACGTCGACGTTCACTCTCTGCAAACGCTCAGCCTCTCATCGTTAAACGAGTTCAGTCAGTATTTATAGGTAAGAAAAGTGGCGATCGAACGTTTCGACGTGCAATTTATTTCATTCATCTATCAAGAAGAGTATATTATTTTATAATGAAAATTCCTCACGTCCAATGTTCCAAGTTTCTCAATCAGTGCAAGCGAAATATTTTTGTAATAAATAAATGTTTGAGATTGGCCAGTAGCTTTGATTTACTTCTCAGGCAAAGACCGAAACGTGGAAATGAATGACATGCACTTGAGTCGATCCCTCGCCACGAGAGGATTACGAAATGGTTTAGTGTCAAAGACCCTCCGGGGGTCGGGGAAGAATTTTGATGAAAGCCGTCGAGAGCCCACGCGCGTCTAAGAAAAGAAACCCATTCACGATCGATGAGAACCTAATATAATGCGATCGGGTTCAAATACGAGAATCAGCGTTTTATTTTTAATTCGCTCACCGGTACAGATCAATCGAACTTACGACGAGAAGATCACCGACATACGAATTCGTTTCCCCTGGTCATCTCCTTTCGAAACGGAAACACTGCCACTTTTATTCGATTCTGTAAACGCGATTACGAGAGGCTTCCCATACTGTTTCGTTCGCAAACTGGTCGCAGGTGATTTACTTTCTGGATGGAACCGTGATAGCGCTCGAACGTAGCTAAATTCCCTTTCACCGTTGCGCTTCATTCGCGGCAATCGTCTCCCGCACGTTCGCTTTATACTCGCACCCTTTTACGATAATGAAAGTTTAAGTGCATCCACGGAATTACCATAAGCGCGGAATTAATTCCTTTAGATGCTTCGATCATTGACGGCCTCGAATGTCAGCAGATGATTTACGATCTAGTGTGTTCAATTCGGTGCACGCGTTTCGCGCAATGCGTAAGCCGTTTCAAACCTACGTCATGAGGTTCATTCTAAGCGATCCTACGTTTTTAATTAGTAGACTGACGATTTTAAATAAACGTTTCTTTTATCATTTAAGCATGCAGCTTTTCTATATATTCGATTATTTTATAAATGCATCGGATTCGCAAGAATTATTATTGCCAACATTTACGCTACGATTTTACTATCTTAAATTGGGAACAAGCAGAGAATGAGAGTATAAAACGTGAAATAAAATGTATTCGTCTAAGGTCTGTCAGGAAATTGCACGTTTTATTCATTTTAGAATGTATGGAACACTTAGAAAGAAGAAGATGAATAGTGCAGATTGTAATAATTCAGAGCAATTCAGAGAAGATGAATAATGCAGATTGCAATAATTCAGAAGAATAATAAACATTACTTTCATCTCGATCAGGATTTTGTAATTTACATCACAGATCTTTTATTTCACTGCAGTATACCACTCGACTTATTCGACAGACATTAAACTGCGGACTCGATACGTATTTAAAAAAATAAGAAATATATCGAAAGCACGTAAACTCTGATGCACGTTGTTTCTGAATAAAACGCATTTGAATTTTTTTAAATTGAATATCACGAATATTTCGTTCCACTGTCAACACTCGAGGCACGGCGAAGGAGTCACTGTCATCGTATTAAAAACGTAAGAACGTGAAAGGGTGAGAGGAGCTCGACGGTCCCATCGTCGATCAGCTGTAGCTGGCCGAGCGTGTAAGAGGAAACTGTGTGGAAGACCGCGTGAGAGATCACCGGGTGGCTCGTCCGTAGGAAGCGCCGTAGCCAGCGGCGAACCTTGCCCGACGCCCGTTGGAGGAACGACTTCCCGGAGGAATTAGCGGCCGCCTCGGACATGGCATCCCGGGCCGAAGTGACTCGTGCTCGCAGCTCGAAAACCTAAACTAACGGAGAGGGTCGCGCAGCTACCTCGTTGCGAGACAGAGACCCGCACCACTGGCTCTGGTGGGGATGCTTGGGGCGGGCCGGGTGAGCTCGACCGGTCGATATCAACCCCATACGTCGCCTTTACAAAGGTTACCCGTCCACTCTCTCTCGGTACGATCTGGTACAGACCTGCGTGACACTTTTTACCCTGTCACGGAACTCATCATTCGGACTGGTACCACGGTTTTCGACGAGAGTCTATTACACTAATTAGAGCCATCGTTACACTGGATTTTTGAAATGAACAGACATAATGGAGTCTAATAAGTGTAATGAAATTTAGATACGATTTGCTTTTACTGATTAAATATCGTACCACTTATTTTACATACCGAGTGCACTTGAATGCAGTTTATCTATTACGTCGGTGTATCAGATTAGATCTGAGGTGTAAGCTACTGAATTTGGAGAGTATTAAATAACAGTCTGCAGTTTTATCTGACTGCCTAGGATTTATAAATAGCCGTTTGAAAAAAGTGATTCCGGAAACGAGTGTACCGGGGAATAGCTGGCCATTGGTCGAAGCTGCGGATGCAACAAGTGTCACTCGGCCGTGAAATCTACCTCCTGGAGGGGCACCTCCGCGGATGGAGGAAGCAGGAGAAATCATGGGAGGGAGAATTGAGGGGTGGCGAACAAGAGAGAAAGAGAAAAGTATCTCAGCTGGTGGTGCAGCTGGCCAAGATGCGGGGATCGGACCAGCGCAACTTCGAGGCCTAGGTCGCTGCTTGCTTATCGACCACGACCACTCTCAGAGCTTTCGAACTGTATTTCAATTTCAATTAGCGGTGGGAATTTCAGGAGAGTATTTTCATCTTCAAAGGGGAATATAGTTAAAAACTGAAGCGCGAAGTTATTAAACTGATATTTCGCAGACTATCAAAGAATTTTCGTTTGACCGAAGGAGACAGGACTTAGTTAAATCAAGACTCTACTGGGACGAATTTATTCTACGTTCTACATAAAATTTAGGAGAAAAATTTATAAACAAATTCTGAATAAAATTTATGAATAAATCAGTATTCAATTTTGAATTAATAGAAGAAATCGATTTGCAACATTCAGTTTTGAACTCGCATCATTAAATCCATCGCTGACCACCCGGGGACGTGCAGTTTTCGCGACGGCTAATCAAGATGATCGGATGCATTATTAATCGGGTGTACAGAGCTTCAAGCAGATGAATTATGAAGTCTATACACATCAAGACATGAATTATGATCGATCAGAAGAGCCGTCCTGCCTAAAAGGTTACCTCTATTTCCGGAACGACTAGGTACTACTGTTTTTCCTTGTGCATCGAACGACAAATAGCTTGACAACTGAATGACAAATTAATTTTTACGATGTTCTTGTCATAACATAAATACTTGCCATCCGAATTTATGCAATATTCAATCAGTCTGAGTTCATAGAAAGAATATTCAGAATTGATACAATGTTTGTTTCATTTAATGCATATAATATTTCATTCATATAATAATTGGTATGACGTATCATCCAGTGATTGACAGTTTGTATATCAATTGATATGATTTATTTTTATTATATCCCGTATGATTATTTCAGTGAAACGAACAGGGGAATGATAGTAATGATTAAAAGAATAATAAAAACAATATAAAGGGGTGGCTGGCAGACGAGCGAGGTGGCGCTGTATCATTGGAAGAGGAGAGGAGAGCTTTTCCAGCATCGACCGGGCTTCCTCATCGTCCACCAGCAACTGCGGTCACACGCTCGCACGCACACGGATCTCTCTTCCTGCTCAGGCGACCTTGAACCTGAACCTACAGACCCACTCCCTCTTTCTCTCTACTTCTCTGATCTCTCTCCCGTCGACCGAAAAGCTTCGTAAAAATCGATACACCGTTTGTTATTTGCAGCTACCGCAAGGTTGCTTTCTTTTGTTTCCAAAGATCGACATCACTAACAATAGTGTCAATGTCTTACAATTTTTGTACTTATAATCGATGTTCAAATGAATTAAAGTTATTTCGTATGAATTCCTGTTTGGAATTTTAGATATAAATTATATACTTCCAAACATCGTGTGTTTTATACCTATACTAATTTAGATTCGATCATTTTATTATTATGGCTCGACTCAGCTTTGTTGAGTTTTAGAAATGCAGAGGACTAGTGAAAGAACTGGTAAAGAGAAATGGAATTCTCGAAGCGGAGAATTTAGATTGATAAAACTGATTCGAAACGAATTCAATTTCTTGTAGGACATCTAGCTGCGAGCCATTATCGTGTTCCGATAGGTCGGATCTTTCTCAATCTTCGATGACATTAATGGAACGTTCCAAATTTAGTAAAAGAATATCCGATGGAAAACTTCTCAGGAATGGAATTAGTTAGAACTTCTTTTTTTTCTTGGTGACGATTCCGAAAGGTCGGAGGAGTTTATAAAAATATCTGATACTGGTATTTGTCGACGATTCAAGGAGCTCGTTGACCTGTGCTTGATGAACTTCTTCCTGTTTTAGTTTCTTGGTGCATGGTATGATAGATCGACCCTGTGATGCACATTTTATTTCCTTTGTGGCAATATTTTATCCTTATTGATTTTGATTATACTTGATAGTATGAAAAATCTCAGTCAAGCTGTTTAAGGATGTATTGGCTATAC